TCAGAATGATGGAAGAAATCAAGGTTTGTTCAATTTTTTCAAGTTTTTATTCATATTGGTATTTTTTTTTTCCAAATTTATTTTCAGCTGTCAACCCTAAACATTGAAACACAAAACTTATTAGACAAGGTTGCTAAAGAAATGTACTAATTTAAATTGATATCGATTAAAATCTTTTAAAGATTTTTTTTTTTAGTTTAATACTATAGTTTGTAAGGATTATATTGCCTACTAAAATAAAGCATAATACTTTGAAAACATGTGATGTATAACTAACTTTAATTCTTTAATGATGCACCTCTTGCTGTTTAAAGTTAAGTTGATTCTCTGAGCTTGTCCCAGACACAAAATTTTCTTTAAATATCAACAATCTTTACTTTAAAAATGTCTCTCTTTTGTTTTAATTGCTATGGTAACATTTTATTTTATATATATGATGTTAAAGCTATTTTTAAAGAATCTAAAAGCCCACTACTCTATCATTTTTGGTACTCTGTCAAAAACTCTTTCAACAAATGCCATCCACAAGTTGTTATTTTTTTAAAAAAAAAAAAGCTTACTTCAACTTGTCTAACATTAAATATTGCATCTGATGTTTTCTTTCCTAGCCTAAAACCAAATTTGTTAATATACTGTTTCCTATTTTGTCAATAATTAATTCTTAAATCTTCATTACTTGGTCAATTTCACTAATTAAAGTAATAGTTAAACAAAATTCATCAGTTATAAAAAATTAAAATTTTGCGTTTTATTTAACCAATTTTACCTTTTACCAATATTATTGGTAAAATAAAAACATAAAATGAATAAAATGTTATTGGTAAAATGAAATGTTATTGGTAAAATAAAGTAAATAAAATAAATAAAACTTTTATTTTGTATAATAAAATGTTATTGTTGAAATAAAAACATAAAATAAACAAAATGTTATTTGTAAAATAAAAACATAAAATAAATAAAAATGTTATTTTGTGAAATAAATTTATATTGGTAAAATAAAAACATAAAATAAATAAAATGTTATTTGTAAAATAAAAACATGAAATAAATAAAAATGTTATTTGTAGAATAAAAACATAAAATAAATAAAAATCTTATTGGTAAAATAAAAACATCAAGCATATTTTTTTTAAAAATTGAAGAAATGTGTAAATAGAAATAAAAGCTGCAAAGAGAAAATTCTGGGGCAGAATGAGATTAGGTCTAGTAGTTTAATAAGCGTTAAAGTCACCAAAAACAATATTATTAGATGGATAAAGGGAAAGGATCAATTCAGAATGTTATAAATTATTTATAAATGTTATAGACTTATTATGACTTTATATCTCCTTTGAGAATTGTTGTGTCATTAATTATTATATTAAATTTTTCTATTGGATTGTCCTAATGACATATGATAAAACCTTAATAGTTATAAGATGATAATATTTTACAGAAATAGAATTTAATGGAGTAGAATTATAAAACATGCTCAAGTATTATTGTTAGCTTTTTTCCTATTTTCTGTGTTTGTCTAATGTTTTATTTATTATAAAACATGCTCAAGTATTATTGTTAGCTTTTTTCCTATTTTCTGTGTTTGTCTAATGTTTTATTTATTATAAAACATGCTCAAGTATTATTGTTAGCTTTTTTCCTATTTTCTGTGTTTGTCTAATGTTTTATTTATTAATAAAGTTCATAGTTGTTCAAAAGACCACATTCAAAGTTTATATAATTTTATATTTGTGTGTGTATGTGCGTGCGTGTTCATGTGTGTGTGTTTGTGTGTACTATTAACTATAGCATTTTTTACTAATAAATAATTTTATTTACACAATAAATAGTATTTTTGGTTACTTTATGATTGAATAAATTTAAAATATTAAATTTTAGATATTTGCCCTAATTTACCATTAATAAATTGGTACAAAAAGTTAAAATTAAAGGTTGTTATGAAACTCCATAAAGAGTAAGTACCTACTACTTCATAGTTATCTTGAATCACAGCCTTTAATCATTACCTAGAATCTTATCAATCTTGATTGTCTATTTTTTTACCTTTGATCAAAATTATTGCTTATTATTTTTAATCCTTGATTGTTATAAACTTTTATTATAATTATAAACTATTTATGTTTTCGCTGTCATAGATTGCATTGTTTAAAAATTAAATTAATTAATGATATAATTAATATAACAAGTATTAATTGATAATGTAATCATTTCCTACATTAGCTGTGTTTTAGGAGTTGATTTATCTGACGATGCTCAAATTATATACTCAGTATCTCAAGGTATTTTTATTTTGGTACTATTTTTGTTAATTGCATAAAATAATAATATTCATGTTAAATATTAACTGGAAATGATTGTTTAAAAATTAATATATCAACAAATAAAATCACAAAAAATTATTTATAAAAAACTTATTGTGAAGCTGATGCAAAAGAATCTATTGCAAAAGTTTTTGTAGGGAATCTTTTACAAAAGTATTAGTAGGGAATCTATTGCAAAAATATTAGTAGGGAATATTTTTCAAAAGTATTGGTTAGGAATCTATTCCAAAATTCCAAAAAATTCCAAAGATTTTTTAGAAAATCTATTGCAAAAGAATCGATAAGGAATGTATTGCAAAAGTATTATTAAAGAATCTATTGCAAAATCAATTTTATAGGAGTGTAATTGTATGTAGCATATTATAATAATAGGGAAGGGTTGTATATTTGTAGAAGAACATTATGTAATCATTAGAAATTAGGAATTTAATTATGGTAGGAAAGTTTTTTTTTTAATTTTTTAAAATTTTTTGAATGTTTCTCTAATGTTTATAAGAAGAAGAATCTTAATTATTTACAATTATTTCAAATACAGTTCTAAATAAAATTTAAGTTTACCTTAAAAGCTATTTACATGAGGTGGGCTAGCCCAAACAAGATCTCACGATGTTCAATATTTATCTGTAAAAATTAAACTTATTTACATGACAAATTAAACTTATTTTTATGACTTATTTACAATTAGGCTAGCCCGGATAACGGGCTAAGATTTTGTCTAATTTCAGTAAAGATTCCACTCAGGTTAGACTTTGTTTTCCATGTAAACACAAACAAGTAATTGGTAACAAGTAAACAAATACCCTGCTCACAAATATAGCTGATTAGTTAAAATCATTCAAAGACATTTCTGATTATTTTCAAAACAATCAATTGAATAAAAATAAAAATGCATAATTCAAAATTAAATTAAATTTCCAATGTAAACATTTGTTTTCTTATGTTTTTATTTTTTTAGTTAGTTCAGTTAATCCGGCCAGCCCAATTCATATAATCAATCTCTTAGTAAACAAAAATTATATGTAAAGTGGATCATTTAACATTACATAATTATCATAAAGTTCAAATAATTAAAGTGATTCCAAACCTCCAAGACATGGTTGTGTTCATTTTAACGAGAAAGACAAAAAAAAATGTTGGACTAAATTTTTTTGATTAAAACAAAAGAATAAATGAGTAGCAAGAAAAACTAACTTTATGATAATTTATTCAAGCACGTTTTATTACTAAGAGTTTTAGTACATGACGCTATTGACTTTTGCTTGTTTAAATAATTGATATCTTGCGCAAACAAAAAAAAGTCAATTACATCATTGAATAAATCACTCTTGAATAAATTATTAAGTCTGTAGTTTGCAGCGTATATTATGCTGATTTTTAGGCCTTCAATAAAACAGAGAAAACGAGCCTCTTAACATACTTAAAAGTATAAAATATATATTAAAGATATGAATATATGTTTATTTTGATAGCCCTTTATTTATTAGATTGTCAACTAAAAGTCTATTCTATAAATGATAATATTCAAACTCGAAGCATCAACTTGTCATCAATGGTAAGATTCTTTTTTTTTTTCCATTTCATTGATTATTTTTTAGCATGTAAATAAATTATGAACTTTATATAAAAATAGATGATGAATGTTATATTTAGGCTTTGTCATGTTGTCAATTAATAGATGACCAAAAGTATTTACTCATAGGATCTTGGGATGCCCAAATGTAAAGTTGTTTTTTCTGTTAGTTTTTAGGCCAAACGCTTGATCATAGTTGTTTGATATATATATATTTACTAAATATTATTTTCAGTTATATTTATTCAACAGAATACTCAAGAGTTGTTGATACAAAACGTGCTCATCATGATGCTAGTAAAATTTTGTTTTTATTCAAGTTTTAATTTATATTTATACTTGTCTCTTTATGTTTATATACCATTGATTTTTTTTTTAATATTTTTCAAAGTGCAATTTTTTCAATTTATGTGTAATATATATATATATTTTTTTAAAGTAAGCAGTTTATGTTATAAAAACAATAAGTTAGTGACATCTTCTTGGGATGCAACAGTAAAAGTGAGATGTTTATGTTCTATTTATATACTATTTTTTTATTTATTTTGCTATTTCTTATTTATTATGTGATTTTAATTTAATAAATATTTTAGAATATTTCTAATTTAAAATAAGTTGTTATTTTAACATAATATAGTTTAACTTTTGAGTTGGTTTCATTTATTAATTTTTTACTTTTATGTGTGGTCATATAAATTTGTAAATAAAAAATTTACATTTACTCTCATTGTAATTTTTTACTTTTAGGTGTGGTCATATGAATTTGTGAATAAAAAATCTACAATTACTCTCATTGTAATTCAATGGATTTCTTACTGTTTAATAAATACTTGCAGTTACTTATTTTTAATTTAGTAGTTTTTAATATATTTTTAAATTTATTTATTTTATTAAATGTTTTAGTAAATTAGAGAGAAACAATAAAAAATATAATTTTTTTTTTTTTATAAAAAACTTTAGTCTGAAATTGATCATGATACTGAAGTTTCGACATGTGATTATTTTGAGGATTCCAATGGCTCAAAGGTTGTTACTGGAACTAAAGATGGTAAAATATGTTTGTGTACACACCACACACGCACACAAACACACTCACCAACACACACTTATGTGTATGCAACCCTCTAAATTAGGGTCGGCATTCGGCAATGCCAACCTAACTGCCGACCTTAAAGTGTTTGATGTTGGCAACAAATTGCTGACCTCGTTTTTATGTTTTATGGTAATACCTTTGTATCAAATTTTTTTTGCCGAACTGATGCCGACCCTTAAAAGAATAAGGTCGGCCAACCTCAATTTTACTAATTTCGAGGGTTGTGTATGTCTATACATAAGAAATTTTGTGTATATTATATTTTTTTTAATCTCAATCTACGAGTTGTATAATAATAATTTGTTGATGTTGTGACCTAAACTCTTGGCTGTCTCTGTGATTGTAAAAGTTATCTTTCTATCAGATATTTAGTCTTGTCTGATGCACAAATTACCAATTTTGGTAAAAAAAAATACTGTTTTGGTACTTTTCATTGGAAGAGATTACATATCTTCAGCATTTTCCTCTATCATGTCATTTTCACTTTCCATAATTAGAGGAAATCATCTATATTATTTCTTCTAATAGTTATTTTCTTATATATTCTTCCATCCAATTTTTTTCTCTTTTTTTTCATAAGTACTCTGTTCTATTTGAAATAGCTTTTTATAAATAGGTAACAAACAATCCTGTCTTTCATCTTGTTTAGACATAAGGAACTGCTTATCAACTTGCTTAAGTTTAATTGTTCACAAGTAAATATTTATAAAATATTTGTACAGTTTTAGTTGTTTTTTTGATTTTCACTAAAGCATTGTTTGTTCTTTCTCAATTTCTAGTACCTGTCAACAGTTTTTTCTATTTTCTTTATGACATGATACTGTCAGAGATATAAACATATAAGGTAATTATAATATGATCCAGTCAGAGATTATAAATATATAAGAATTGGTTATATTATCAATAAGAATTAATTATGTTATTACTAAAATATTAATACATCGCCATTCAAAATACCATTACTAATTTCATTGTTTTAATTAGGGGATAATTAGGATCCTTCACCATCCTGTGAATAACTAAATACTCTGGTAATATAAATGTTTCCCTGATGTGTAATGCTTCTTCTTTTATCAATTTCATGCAGGTAGTGCGGTAGTGGTGTAGTGGTAGAGCGCTCGCTTCATAAACAAGTGGTTCCGAGTTCGATCCCCATCACGTCCCTGGTAGTACAGCGCTTAACTCGTTTCTCCGCGCAGCGGCCTTGTTCATCAAGGTTCGTGTTTCGGAGTTATAGAGTTGAGAGAGGGTTATAAACACAATAAGTAGCCTCCTCGTCTGTAGTGGCCTTCTTGGCCTTGAGGAGGTGAATTAAAAAAAAAAAAAAAAAAAAAAAAAAGGTATTTTCTACAGTTGATCTCATGAGATATATCTTCCTTTGGACAGACCCAAGAAAAAGTGTTCATCATTGCATCATTTGCATCATGTGTTGCATCATTGCTGGAAATTTTAGATTAGCTGCTGTAAAAATGTTAAGGTTTCTAAAAATAGTTCTTAGAAAAGTTAAATAAACCACCTAAGTTTTTATTTAATGTTTTAATGAAACTTTATCATAATAACAGTTATTGAGTTTAGTGGTAAAAACAGAGTTTATAGTTTTTAAAAACCTAAAGATTTAAAAAACAGAAGCATTTCCAGATATCCCATTTTGCAATCACTTAATTCGAGTCTTGATATTGAATTCCTATTGAGTTTTTATTGTAGAAACCAGACATAAATGTTTTACAAATACAACCTACCAATCGAAAAAAAAAGTTTAAGGTATTTAGCAACAGTGTTTAAGTAACATTTCACCACTTTAAAACAAATTGATAGAACAAATGCTTAAGTTTTTTGGAGCAGTTTTGAAGGCAAAGGGGGATTACTTTGAATAATTCAATATTGGAAAAACTTTCTAAAAATAATGTTCAATTTTTGTTTTTTATACTTATTATTTTTATTGCAAAATGAATCTTATTATTCAAAAATATTTACTATTAAAAGCAGTATTGTTAATTTTATACCGGTAGTGCGTGTACATATACATTTATATATATATATATATATATATATATATATATATATATATATATATATATATATATATATATATATATATATATATATATATATATATATATATATATATATATATATATATATTATATATTTATATATATATATATATATATATATATATATAATTTTATTTTATATTTTATTTAAGGACATGTGCTTATATGGAACATTGATTTGCAAATTCCGACTAGTCAACTAAACCGTGAATTTTTTATTTTTTTTAACTGTTCTGCAAAATTTATATAATTTTCTGCAATAAAAAAATATTTATTCGAGTTTTTATTTAGTTTCCTTTTTTTTTTTGTTCTTTCTGTCCGTTTGTTTAACCTGTTTAAGCTTTTTTACTAATCTATTTTTCTCATCCGTGTATTTTTTCCCTTTAATGCTATTTTCTACCTTCCTATAGTTTTCTACCTTCCTATATTTTTCTAATTTCATATAGTTTTCTACCTTCATTTAGTTTTCTACCTTCATATATCTTTTTATAGTTTCTGATTTTTAATTTTTTTTGCATTTGATTAACAATTTTTTTTAATTAATATGTTTAATTTATAGTTTTTTATTTTTTTAATTTTTATAAATACTTTCAATTATATTTAGTGCATGCCAGCAATGTAACAAAAGTAATATTTAGTCCTAGTAAGTTGTTGTTTTTTCTTTACTTTAATTTACAAATTCAAAATAAGAGTTGCTAAAATTTATTTTTCTTACACAGGAAAATTGTATTTCTTACTAAAGAATATTTTTCTTAAAACATTTCTTATTATATATATTTATTGTTTAATTTTTATTTACATTTGGTTAACAATTTTTAAAAGGTTGTAAAAAATTTCTTAAATGGTGCCTAGGTTTTAAAAATTAATTTTTTTAGATGGTTCCCAGGTTTTAAGTAGCAGCTTGGATGGATATTTAAAAATTGTTGACTCCTGTACAGAACTTCAAGTTTATGTAAAAGATGTTGCTCAACCAATTACGTATGTTGTTTTTTATATTTATTTTTATTTATTTATTTTTTTTTTGTTTTTTTATTTTTTTTGCTTACAAATTCTTTTTCAACGTGGGTTGGAGAATTTTTTAATCTCTTATTTTCTATATAAATTTTCACATTTTTTTTTTAAATTCTCATTTTTTGAAATTTTTACGTTTTTTTTGGATTACTTCAGTTAAAACTGAATGGTTCCACTACTTTTAAAAAGTACATTCAAAGAAACTGAATTATATTGACATTCATCCTACCAAATTTCTTCATGTAATTTCCATCAGCTCTCCTAAAAGAAAATGCCACCAGTTTTAACTATGAATTTATTTTTGTTAATGGGCTAACTTTGTTACAAATTTTTTTCTAATCCCTTATTATATTAAAAAATATATTTTATTGTTTATTTTTCTGTTTAACAAATAAAACAGTTCAAAACATTTTCAAAATAGTTTTACCTAAATTTCTAAAAAAAAGTACTTTACGTAGCAAGCTTTTCTTATGTGATAATCTCTCTCTCTAAGAAAAAGGAGTGAGAAAACTAGATGTTTTAAAAGATTGTTGCATTTAACTCATAGTGTTTATTCCAATTTTCAATCAATATTTATTTAGAAAAATATATATTTTAGTATAATTCGTTAGGATAGCAAAGAAATCAAAGCAAAGCAAAAATAAATATTCCAATCAGTTTGATATCGTAACTCGCACTCAATTAATTTGATATCTTTACTTGTACTATTTGATTGCAGTTATTATTAGTTATAACGCAGTTATTATTAGTTATATCGCAACTTCTTTTTATTTTTTAAAAAATGATGTTTCTTTTGTTGTTGAAACACCTACCTTTTTTTCTTCGTTTTTATCTTGTTGCATCAATCATCTGCTATTTTCTTTATATCTTGCATCTGTCATTTACTTTTTATCTTGTATCAATTATCTTTCATTTTCTTTTTATATTGTAGCAGCTGGCATTAATTAAAAGTATGCATGCTCAAAAGTTTTATTTTAAAGACTTCATAAAATGTTGCAAAGGCTTCATAAAAGTTGCTAAGGCTTTATAAAAGGCTGCAAAAGCTCCTTTGACGCACACAATACCAACTATAAAACCAAAACCAAAAATCAATATGCAATTAAATCTGGCCACTTTAGTGTATAAATTTTTAATTTAGATAAAGTAGGTTTTCTACATAAGGTCAGTAGTGATTGCGTTCCTTCGTACTATATATTCCTAATATTTTGCATACGTAATCTCTGATGCTTTTTTATTAAAAAATAATATTTTTTGAAATAGATTCAGTTAAAATTCTATAATGAATATATATCTTATCACTTTTAACCATAAAACACTTTATAATGTGTTCCTCTAATTTTTTACAATTACAACTTTAAAATATAGTTTAATATTTACGAACTTTTTATTTATTGGAATATAAGTAAAAATAAATTTAGTGAGTTTTTAATGACACAAGTAAATCTTGGTTATCCCTATAGAAACGCGTTTTGGGATGGCTCCGTCGTTATAGCCACATGTCAAACTGGCAACATCCTTATATTCGATATTATCAATGATATTTGTATATCAAATCTAACTTCGAATGCAGGTATATCTTTATGAGTATTTCCTTGAGTGTATTATTTTTTTACTTTTTTATTAGTCTAACATAAATAGATTGTTTAATTTTTTAAGGTGCGATTGATTCTCTAGCTGTTAACGTGAAAATGAATAAATTGATCACAGGTCACAACGATGGGAGCATATCGGTATGGATTGTAGATGATGAATGAGATTATAACATTCTAGCTGAATGAAATGAATAAATTTTTCGATGTTATTCTGAGAAGTTAACATTACCACTGATTGTTTTTAATTGCTGCCTCGTCGCTAATCAAGTGATGAAGTAGCACATCAAGTAAAGAGTTGCGTGGTTTTTGATAACAATTTTTTTATAAACGATTTAACTAAACTGAAAATTTTTTTTAAGAAACTCTACGCATTTTTTTTATTAACGAATCAAATTATTAAAAAGGTATTTATGTACAACTTTAAAAAACATAAAAGTTTGTTTTAATATTTGTTTAATTTCAATAAGTTTAAATGAACGTAAAAACAGAACAAAATTAATTTACATTGTAGACCCTGTTGTGTTTAAGTAGACTTGCTGTATTTAAGTAGACTTGTTGTATTTAAATAGACTTGTTGACTTACTGTTTTTAAGTAGACTTGTTGACTTACTGTTTTTAAGTAGGCTCGTTAATTTATTGTTTTTAAGTAGACTTGTTTACCTGGTCTTTAACTCGTAAATTCTCTTTAATAACACAAGTCTGGAACATTTTTTAATAACACAAGTCTGGTACATTTTTTAATAACACAAGTCTGAAACATTTTTTAATAACACAAGTCTGGAACATTTTTTAATAACACAAGTCTGGAACATTTTTTAATGACACAAGTCTGAAACATTTTTTAATAACACAAGTCTGGAACATTTTTTAATAACACAAGTCTGGAACATTTTTTTTTCCTAAAATTAAAGAGTTAATTCTTATATATTTTTGGTCGAATTCGAAAAAGTTATCAAAAAAATTCCATCACGTAAGGTTTTTTTTTAAAAACATAAAATGCTGTAGGATTGCCTATTTTAGGGCGCAAAACGGGGTTTAATGCCAAAATATTTATTATTATTTTATTTATAAACTTATAAGATAATTTTATGTTTCGTAGGCTGAAACAAAACATTTAGTAACTCATGAAGATAATATCAGTCAGCGTTGAATCATCGTTGAAGGGCTTAGAATGTGGTCAAAAGGTAAAGTTAAATCTTTTCGTTTTGGTGTTCCCATAATCTGGAGAGAGCCTCGAAACCACAACGATGACTGCTGCCGATGACTGCTGTGGTATAGTACCAAAAATAAAAAACAAACTTTTTATCCAAACATGGAATCAGCACTCCACCCAGTCCCTCACGGACCTGGCATTCTTATACTACAAGCACCCCGAAGCCTAGATGAATTAGAAAGTGAATCAGAAGAAAGTTCTAGTGATGAGTTTCAAGTAGGCGACTCCAGTAGTCCTCAATAATTTACTCAAGCTGAATTAAATGACCTGATCCGAGATTGAGGACTTTCAAAACAATCTGAGTTACTAGGATCTAGACTGCAATAGAAAAATTTGTTGACATTTGGAACTTCTTTTTCTTGGTATAGAAATAGAGAAAAATATTTTGAGCCTTATTCTCAATATGGTGAGCTGGTCTATTGTTCCGATATCAATGGGCTAATGTCCATGTTCAAAGTTCAACAAATAGCTGAAAATTAGAAACTGTTTATTAATTCTTTGAAAAGAAGTATAAAAGCTGTTTTACTTCACAACGAGAATAAGTACGCATCAATACCCGTTGGTCATTCAGTACATTTAAAGGAAACTTATTATAACTTAGCATTGATCTTGGATAAGTTAAAGTAAAAAGAATTCGAGTGGACAGTTAGTGTGAATCTTAAAGTAATTTCTATGATACTTGGACAGCAAGGTGGTTGCACAAAATTTCCCTGTTTTCTTTGTGAATAGGATAGTCGTGCTAAAACTAAACACTGGAACCAGAAAGTGTGGCCGAAAAGAACATTGAAGGTCGGAGAGAAAAACGTGCACTTTGTATCTTTGGTTGATCCTAAAAAGGTCCTTCTACCACCACTCCATATCAAACTTCGCATGATGAAGCAGTTTGTGAAGGCATTGTTAAAAGATGGTGAGACATTTAAATACCTTTCAAGCAAGTTTTCTGGTCTGTCTGAAGCAAAGCTGAAGAGGGGGAGTTTTTGTTGGTCTTGACATTCGTAAGCTAATGAAAGATAACAACTTCGAAAATGCGATGACAATGTTTAGAGGTCAGCATGGAGTTCTTTTAAAAACGAATTACAAATTTTCTAGGGAATCATAAAGACTCGGACCTTAAAAATATCGTAAAAAATATGTTGTGCAATTTTAAAAATCTAGGATCCTCAATGAGTTTAAAACTCCATTTTTTGAACTCCCATTTGGATTACTTCCCTGAAAATCTTGATACAGTTAGTGAAGAGCAAGGTGAGAGGTTTCACGAAGATATAAAAGAAATGGAGAGAAGGTATCAAGGTCGATGGGATACAAATATGATAGGCGACTACTGCTAAATGCTGCTTAGGGAAAATGTAACGTCCCACAAAAGAAAAAGCACTAAACGAAGCTTCGAAACTAAAATAACTAGACTTTATAAAGCTTTATAGTTGTATACACTGTAAACAATTATTTTATGATTTAAAATTAATTTAATTTGTATAATTTTACGATTTGTTTTCTAAAATACTTGATAGAACAAATTTGTTTTCTAAAATACTTGATAGAACAAATCTGTTTTCTAAAATACTTGATAGAACAAATTTTTTTTTCTGATTGGATAGAACAAACAATAGATGTACGATAATCTGATTCAAAACGAATTTTAAATAAAAAAAACAATTCGGTTATCAATCGCAATACTTAACAAAACAAGTAATTTTAGGTATAATAGCATTGTAATAGCATTAGTGCTTGATTTTATAAAAAAAATTTGTATTTAGAACTTCTATGGACTAGTTTAAAGTCTCATGGTTATTCCTTACATAGAAAAATTCTTATATAGAAACCCTTGATTGGTTTAAAGGTTAGCTGTGCAACAGGCAGCAATATGTTATTTTGAACAATAACAAATATTCAATTTTACTAAAAGTTAGTCTTTTTTTAAATATAAATTGCAGATTTTGTGATTAAAAAAAACCTAGTTTTAATCATAAAAGGTTCAAACTTATTGCTATCTTACTATCATTAAACAATGTTTAAACGAAATAGGTCATAAAAACTTATTCTATATCAAAATATATTTTTAAAGACTCACTAAAGATAAAATCTGTATGATTGCAAGCCATGCAATGATTCTTCATTATATAATTATTCCTAGTTAGTCACTTGTATATAACTAATCACTTGTATCAGTCATCAATATCACTGTCATCAGATCAATCATTTGTGGAAACAGAGAAAGAACTATAAATAGGGGAAAATGAATTATACCAACTAAATTTTTTTGTTGAACCTATCTTTGTTTGATAACAGTTACTTAAAGAACTCATGACAGGATTAAGATTTGAAATTATATTTTGCACATAAAATACAGGCTCTAATAATAATCTGTTTCTTTCTTTAGTCGATTGTCCAGAAAAGAAAGACAGAAAATAATCGCTCTACAAACGACATATACGAAAATAATCGCTCTATAAAAGCTCTAATAAAAGCTCTGTAGAAGCTCCTGTAGGGCGATTATTTAATTTAAGATTTTAGTGTTTCGCTTCACATCTTCCTCAAATTATTTTACCTTTTCTTTGTGACTTTTTAAAAATTTAAAAAAGTTAGAAAATTGGTCGTGGCACAATGATTGATTTATTTGAAAAAGGACTTCTTCATTTACAATTAAAATTGAGTTTTCAACCATGGCCTACTTAATAACAGGCCTGAAAGATGCGCGCGCGCAAAAAAAAAAAAACTGTAGGCGGATATTTTGTAAACAATTTAGTCGACTATAAAAATTAAAATAAGCTACTAAATTAATTGTTTACAAAAAATATGTCATTGTTTTTCAAAAATAACGTTCAAGAAAATTGTAATTTTTATTTCACAAATCAGCAAACTTTAAAATATAAAGTTTTTCACCATTAATAATATTTTTAAAAGATTACTAAAAAAAACATTTCTTTAACAATGTAAACTATTTTTTCTTTTTAATCTAACAAACTTCAAAAAATGCATTTCTATTCAGTAACAATAAATAGAAATTAAATAATCATTAATTTTTAATTATCACAAAAATGATAACTTAAGCACTTTTAAAGCATGTTCTTTGTTGATCGAGGTGTTTAAAGCTTGCTATAGTTGTTAAACAATATGTTGGATAATATTTTTCCATGAAACCTATCTATGTTTTCAAAACCATAAAATTCTGCTATCATCATTGTTATATTTATAAGACTTGTCCGATAAACTGAGGACATGATATGATGGAAAAATATATAGCAATAAATAACCCATTGACACACATTGTCTCCAGGTAACTTCAATCCACCTCTATTAAGCTCTTTTGTAAAATCTCCAAATACCTCAAAATAGAAATTTGTATTACTTTCATCTCTATCGTTTCTGTTGATGTATCCTGCAATATAAACTAGTGCCATTTTTACAGATTTAGATAAAACTAATTCCATATTTGAAAGATTATGAAACACATTAAAGGTATTGTCATCATTTGGTAAAAATCCACATTTCAAACGGGAATGTTCACGACTTGCTTGGATTTCATTAAAATCTGTGTGTAAATCAAGAAGAAGCTTTGTTTTTTTTTTTTTAATTTTTACTTTTTGTAAAATTTGTTGAACATTGATGAAATATATTCCATCCGAACCTTGAAGTAGCTTACTAAACATTTTTTCAATGAGATCACTAGAAAAATTTTCTTGGTATATAAAGTCATGTGAAGTGTTAAGGAGATGCTTTGTTAACTCAACCACTCCTCTACATGGCAAAAGCAAGAGCAGTATCTTTGGTAAGTTTTTTTACTCTATTCCCTTGTTTTTCAGGGACCATTTTTTCAAACATAATTGCTAAATCAAGTAAAAATTCTAATTGCTGATCATTAGGATTATCAAAGACAGCCCTTTAAAGTCTTCAAATCGGACATCTTCAAACTGACTTTTAACATTTAGGATTTTAAAAAAGTCTACAATTTTTGATATAAAATCAAAAGTTTCACTTGAATCCTGCATTTCTGTATGAATCTTTAGTGCAGTTGATGTTTCACCACATAATATCTGAAGACTTAATTCACCATTCTGTCGTTCTATAAGTTTCGGACAGATAAACACTTGATTGAGCTTTGATAGTTTAACAATAGAACTTTTCTCCAACTCAAACAGCTTTTTCAAGTCG